TGTTCTTCAATTTTATTGTGTGGAACTACTCTCTTTTGTTGTGTGAGGGCACTTGATTCATGAAGGAAAGGTAATGTCAGTGACCTCTATGTTAGAGTAAGTAGGTGAGTTGTGAATAATGCGTGGCACTTGTGAGTCAAATCATGAGGTGAAGATGTTACGCTTTTGTGCTTAGTCTATTTTAAATACTCTTGGTGTGCTGCGTTAGGAGAATTGTTTAAAAAGCTCGTGTCTATAAAAAAGTGTAGTTTGATTGCTCGAGGACGAGAAATGGTGTAAGTGTGGGGTGTTGATGATAGGCTATAATTGCATATTTTAGTCGCTTATTACACTCGAATTTACTGCACTTTAATTGAGTTTGCGCTTTAATCGCTAGTGTTTTGCACTAATTGTGTGTTTTATGCCTTGTAGGTGTGATTCCGAGCTATATAGATGTTATGGAATGAATTTAAGTGATTTGAAGCTTTGAAGTCTGAGTAAAAGCTCAAGGAATTAAGCCGGGATCGTGTTCGGGGGTCAAATTTGATAATTAAGTACGAACGAAGACTTGAGGAGGCATATTACGCATTGTCTAGTAAAATAGACATAACTTTTTTCTCAGAATTCCATTTGGGCTCCACAATATATGGTTGGAAAGCTAATTCAAAGAGCTACAACTTCCATGTTTTATGTTTTACCAAATTGCAAACGGAACATGGTGAAAAACGCGGTCGAAACCGCGACCGCGGAATTGACCGCGGCAAAAAATCAGAGAACTTGTCTGGCCGCGGTCCTACTGCGTTTTGGCCGCGGTGCGCCCTTCCAGGCGTCAAAAAGAAGTCCTATTTCGCCTGGGACAAGTTTATTTCGGCCCTACACTATTACAACTTGTATAAAAGGGGTCCTAAACCTAATTTGAAGTGAGAGGGGACATATTTTGGACACAAATTAGACCTAAGGAGGCGGAGAGACACTACTTTAGGGTTAGACAACACCCTTGGAGGCAAGAACACATTGGGAGCAAGGCGGAGAATTCTTCTACGAGTTTTTTCCTTCCTCTTCCTATTTTTCATTGTTGGTTATGACTTTTAGTATTGTAGTTTTACATACTATTATGAATAGCTAATTTGTTATCTAGAGTTTTGATAGAACCTTTTGTAGGATAAATTCTTGTTATGTTTTTATATATTTGAGTCATAGCCTTTTCTCTATTTGTTCAACTACGTTTATATTGTGGTTGATTGAAGAGCTCTCAATTAGCTGTGCCTATTTAGTATGCATAACTCGGGAGAGAGTGCATATTTAGGTAATTGTTGAACACCACCACTCCCAGAGTATATGAGGGATCAATAACCGAGGGTTTAAAGGCGGGATTAGGGATAACGAAGCCTTGGGTGCGATCTGAAGTGAGCTGTATTAAAAGCCAGCTAGCGTAGCTTGGGAGAGTGCGTCTAGTAAATTGTCGTAATTACTCGGGAGAGATTTACGGTAATAAGAGTGCTCATGATCGGTAGAGAATACTTAGGCGAAATTATAGAAGACATAGCGGGAAGGATTCCGACAATTGGGGAAATCATAACTCTAGACCTCCTTAATCTTTTCTCTAACCCTCAGTATCGTTAGTTGTTAATTTACTATTTTAATTTGTTAGTTAAGTAGTTAAACACAAGAATCGTAATATCTATAAGTTAGGAATTGTTCAAGCTTGTCTTCTTGGTGATAGTGAACAGCTGTAGCTAAACCTTAGTTCTCTGTGGGATTCGACTCCGGACTTGTAAACCGGATTATATTTGCAACGACCGCGTTGTCCTTTTTATAAGGCATAGTTGGGCGTGATCAATGGGTCTATGTCACCTGCAAACGTGGCAGTGGTCAGCTCGCAATCATCCCGGGTAGAGTCTACCGCTCCGATTACTCCACCTCTGACGTCCACCGACCTCCTCTTACGAGGAACCAAATCCTCCTCGCTTGGCGATGACTCTTCATCTATTAAATGCAGCAAGGTGGAAGCTAGAGTCTCCGGTGCCGAAGCCTCTAATGGTCAAACTGAAGTGGATGGCCGGGCACACTTGGTCACAGTCACGGCAGGGGCGGACCCCGTTGTAGTATTCTTTTGGCGGAAAGCCGGAGTAGGAGCCCTTGACCCCTTCGAGGATACCCGGGCTAAAAACAAAAAGAAGAAGCATTAAAAGATCAACCCTCACGATACAATAATTATCCAAAAACAGATACTCACCAGTCACGAAGGCGCAAGCCCAAACTTCTTAAGGAAGGTCGGCCATTCACAGATCCCCGCTGTGTATGGGAGGATCCGGCTCACCCAATCGTGTATGTCCTCGACCAAGGGAAGAGGTTCGGTCTCGGCCGCAAAGAAAGAGCGAAATGTCTATTACAGTTGAAATTAGCTGAACCAAGGCATAACATAAAAAGAAAGAAGGGAAGATTACTTACGGGCGTAGTTCCAAACTTTGGGGACCCCACTTGCATTGACCACTATGTCCTCGGTCTTAACGTAGAAGTAATTGAGCCAGAACAGGCAATTTGCATTATCATCCATCTTCACCACTAGGCATTTGCTACCCCGGTGGCGAAGATGTAGCATCGTCCCCCTGAAGAAGCTGGGGGCAAAGAGGTACATTAAATGGTGAAGTGTCACCTCGACCCCGGCTAGTTCTGCATATCTTGTAAGCATGCGGATAAGTTTGTAGATATTACGAAGAAAGTTGGGCCGGGCGGACACGAAAGTAGCGTCTGAACTCCTCGGCCAAGGGGAGGATGGGAAAAGAGTAACCGACGTGGAAAGGGTACGCATACAAAGCGCAGTACCCAGGACAGTGTATTTGTACCACATCGTGCCTCGCTGGAACTAGGTCAATGCGAGCGGGAAACATGAATCTGCCTCTAAATTCAGCTAGATGTACCTCTTTCATCAACGACTCCGAAAACTCAGGGTAGTCTTCGGGCACCTTTGAAAATCATATCTATCTTTGTCACTACGATGGATTATCTCATCCACCGTAGAAAGGTTCCCATCATTAATAGCAACTGAAATGCTATCATCATGGGGAGGCATACGCACCGCCAAGGGAACAGGTTCGGTCGCCCTCCCAGAACTAGAAGATGCATTAACCATCTTTGTTTATGTATGAAGATATAAGCATAGAAGAATCGTGAGTAGCAGAAGTCAACAAAATTGACGAAAACAAGAACATGAAAGTAAAAGTAACAAGAGCCGGAACTATAAATAAAGAAGAAAGAAGAAGATACAAGAGCAAAAACCCTGAATGAAGAAGGAAGAAGAAGATACAAGCTTTCAATATTAGAGAATGCAAAGAGTGAGGCTAAGGGTCTCATATCCTATTTATAACAATCCGGGCATCAGTACCGAGAAAACAAGCCGTGAATTCCCGACGCAGGTATCGAAACGTCGGAAGCATAGGAAACGATGCACTGCATCAGGAAAACGCGTAATAATGACACACGATGTCATGATGTCATTCTGAATCAACGTAACCATAGGTTACAGGTCACAAAGTGCCATGTTGCCACCTCGTCTGAAACGTCGCTATTCGACCTGCTCGCTCAAATCTCTCAACCGCAACTAACAAAGTCCACTCATCAAAGCCGTCCAGGGTCAGCCTCAATAAGCGGAGGGACTAACTGTGTGGGTCAAAAATTATCTTCAAGAGATTTAACGTGAAGTAGTGTTACGAAAAGTAATATGGTCGAGGTCGACTACCGAACAGTGGGAGTCATAGCCGAGCAGTCAATAACGGCCGAGGTTAAGCATCAAGAGCAATAGTAACGGCTAGTTTTGTAATAGGTTCTCTAGGAGAATATTCTATTGAATATTCTTTGCATTTGTACCTTTAGGGTTGACTGGGGGTATGACCCATATAAATAGATAAAGAGATAAGGTGAGAGGCATGTAATATTCTCTGATAAGAACACTCTTTGAAAAGAAGACTCTCTCTAGAGAAAATACAAACATTACCTTTCTGAAGAGATTCGATTGTCTATTATTCCATACTTTTCCATCAGATCCGAGAAGGTCCCAATATTCTAGTATTTGTCTATCATTCATCCTTGTTAGAAGAAGGAATCATCCACCTCATTTAACATTGGATGAACTTTTCTCCTTATTTACTTTAATGCCATTTATCGTTATTTATTATTTAGTATTCCCCCGTCATTAATCATCTTGAGATATTAAAGGCGCACAACATCAAGCCCCTTATCACCGCTATTCTACATGATTCGTGTTGACCGATTATAAATCCAAAGTAATTATCATTAGCTAGGTTTAACCCCTTACTATATAAAATTAATTAGTTTAATCAAAAGTTTACACTTTTTAGTCAAACAGGGATCATCATCGATATCATCCTTTTCAAAATCCATGCATATGGTTTATTTGATTAGGATACCCTATTAATACACACAAAACATGAGACATTTTCTCTTCTTTATCGAAATCTATTCTATGGAGCGTTGCATCAAGATGATTGATTTCCTTAGCTGACCAATATTGACCCTGAACTAGCTAGTGAACTTGCTCAAATTCATGAAGGATAATGTGAACACATACTAGTTTTCTTTTTTTATATTCTGTTTAGGAATTATCTGATCTTTAAAGCGGCTTTTCTTTCTTCTTTCCGGTTATCGCTTCGTGCTTTAAAGTATTTCTTTTTCTTGCTTCAACATGTACGGAATGAAAAACATAAACTAATAAGTAAATGATTTTTAATGTGCTAGTCCATCATATTAATTATTGCGACAAAACATGATTACAAGCAAGTGGCCATAACTAGCTAGGGGGACCATTGGACGATACGTCATGTATAGTTGTAGGTCTTTTTTTTTTCCAATCTCGTTTTTTTTAAGGACTACATCTCTATATTCATGATATAAAGATATATCTTTCGTTACAATAGTTATATAACGTATTGATCTTTTAGTGGGAAAACTACATCCTCAAGCTAGGTTTGAATCTTGTCAAAAACATATAAACTAACAAATAATGACTTCTAAAGTGCTAGTCCAGCTTATTAATTATAGTGAGAAAACGTAATTACAAGCAAGTGTCCCTTAGATCCGATACTTATTATTTCATCTAACTCATGATGGCCTAGCTAGTGACTAGTAGAACCTAGAGGAAGAAGAAACAAGGCTATAAATACATAAACGCCCATCAAACGTGAGACCAATTTTTATTTTGACATCTTGTACCTAGTAGATGCTCCTATGTCATTCAAAGTCTGCAAATAAAACCACTCATGACTAACTCTCTCAACTAGTTAGTAGAATACTTGTAATATATAAATCATATTATCAAACTGCGGATAATTGCAGCTTCTGGACTGTCAGCATCTAAAGTGGATAGTAACTGAGAGAGTCGATCACTAAGGTCATCCATTTCTCTGTTCAAGCTTCTTATGTAGTTGCAAGTTTCTTGGAGCACCTTTGATGCTGATGCCTGCAATGAATATACATATATACCATAACTTATGACTATATGACATAGCAAACGGCGGGCCCCAGTAGAGACAAATGCCATGTGTGTGACAAGCGCTTCGTTAAAGTAGATAATTTATCTTATTTACAAATTATTAATTTAATTATTTTATAAATTCATAAATTAATGAGAAAGGAATAATCAAGTCTTAAAGCAAATACCTTTTACGATATAGTCAAAATATAGTGTTGCATAATATTAGACTAAACATGCCTAAATTTGTGCAATAATGCGTTGCAAATCTTTAAAAAGGCCAATTCACTGACGTACATTGACTTTATATATCGGGAGTTGGGCCCCAAAGGCATGAGGAACATATTAATCAAATCGGAAAATTTTATTTTGTGTCTCACACAACTGACACTAGTGGTATGAGGCATCTTTTTCGTCTCACAATTTTGTGGACCCAAATTTTTTGTGGACCCAAAAGTGTAAGATAAGGGTCCATAAATTTGTGAGACAAAAAGAAGCCTCACACAACTAATATAAATTGTGTGAGACGCAAAATAAAACTTCTCAATCAAATCTTATACTGCAGAAGTTGTGTTGTTTTCAAGAAATAATACACCATATGAAAAGGAAGAGAGAGAGAAAAGATAAAGTCTAGTCTATTTTCTTTTAAGTATGGTGATGTGCTTGGTGATTCACTGTTCGACTCGTCAATTTTTTCTTTTCCAATTTTTGGTACTTCCAATTTATTTGAACCTGTTTGACTGGATATGAAATTTAAGAAAAAAAAGACTTTTGAAAATTGTGGTCCTAAACAAGTCAAAAAGGGACCAAAGTATTTGTATGGTTATAAAGCTTCTCATTAAGGATAGAATTGTAAGTTTAAGCTTAAATTGTTTCTAAATTAATTTAGAAATGAGTCATTCTTTATGGAATGGACAAAAAAGAAAATAGCTTCACATAAACTAGAACGGAGGAAAGTATGTCAGATTAGGGTGTTTACACCTCCTCTGAGTACAGAAAGACCGAAACTTAGCATTAGTTATACGGAATTTAGCATTGTGTTAGTATTAGGCACCTACTTATTATTATTATTATTATTATTATTATTATTATTATTATTATTATTAATCACATAAAAGTTCTGCATTATTCACCACATAATAATTTCTATATTGTTGTTTACTGCATTATTATCCTCATATTATATCCCTGAATAACTAGTCGGTCAACCAAACGAACCTTTAACGTATAACTAACAACACAACGACGATAAAAACACACAGTCAAGAGGTACAACTATATACCTCACTCTTCCTTTCCTTCTAAAGAATCTCAACTTTTACATACTATATACAAAATATGAATACCATATGTATAATTGACGAAAATATTGATCAAATGCAGCTGCATATATTGAAACATGCAATAAATTGAAGAAAGAATTTAAGCTACATAAAAAAAAAATTATATACATTGATAGTGTAAAGAATTTTGACATTGTAAGTTCTATTTAACGGTTTATAACGTTAGCGTTCCATTTTCAAAGTTACCATATTAACTTTATGTTTGAAAACTTATGTGTTTCTGTAGGTCAACTAAATTTCATGATGTAAAAAATTTATATATACGCTGTCAATGCACAGAACTTAGAGTCGGAGAAGAAATAATAAGCTTTCGTCGAGTGAAAAGAGAAAATGAGAATTAGAACCTTGCTGGAACGGCGAGTTCGAATCTCAGGGAGAAGTTGTTGCAATTTGGATACAAGTTCGATGATCTGATCATCTGAAATCCTCGAAGACTCCGAATCTCTGGATCTTCTGCTTGACATGCTTCAAATAAATGTAAGAAAATTCCTTTTCAAATTTTGTGTTTGGAACAAAGTGAAAGCTTATACGTAGTAGGAATGAACTTAGAAGGAAGAAGAAACTAAAAAGAAGTAAAGAGGGAGTTATGGTAGCTAGAAAAGGACTAGGGAAAAAAGTGATAACGGACGAGCTTTAAATTAAGGAGGGGATGGACCACATGGAAAAGAAGAAAAAAGAGAGGAAGTGTTAGAGTAAGAGAAAGAGTACAAATGTATAATAACATAGAAAGTGATGTTATATGTGAAGAAGAGAAATGCATGGAAAAAAGTAGCCCAAGAAACCTTCTTCTTCAGTCAGTGTATAAGCTTTCTAAATACTACGTAGTAAATTACCGGTTCCTTCTAAGATATTTAAAAATTGGTGCACTAAAAAAAGGATATATTAGGTGGAAAATGATCCTTCTTCTTTTAGGTAAATAACTCAATTTTCAACAAAGTGTCCATTCAACCTTTTTGGAACATATGAATCAGTAAATAATATTATATCAATTCTAGAAAATATGTACATAGAATACCTAGTTTGACGGAAACACATAATTTGGACAATAAATTCGCCCATGCGTGTAAATAGGATAAAGATTAACTTTTTCAATTGTATATAAATTATTATATTGAATCCCCTAACAAAAAAAAAAAAATTGGTTTAGCTTTTAAGGGTTCAAAAATTATTTTAGATTACAAGTTTAATTCCTAACTGTGATACTCTTGTATTTCTTTGAATCTCGTTATATAAATCTTTCGCTGCGCCATCATTAAACTAATCAATTAATGATGGATCCTTACAATATAGCATACACGGCGTGCTCAAATAGACATATATTTATTTAATTAAATTTATTTTATACAACATTGGACATAAATAAGTTTGAATTAAGCGAGCATAAAAAAGTGAGGATTCTTATAATTGTCTCTAATTTGCTAGGGATCAACGAGGCATAGTAGTTATTGTAGTTGCATAGAGATGGGCTCATAGAGGCCCTCTGCGGAGCCAGGATTTGAACATTATGAGTTTGGAATTGTAATCCTTTTAAGTTACTGAGTTCTAAACTAATAAGTTGTACGTATTCGATGAATTTCTTAAGATAAATACATGGTTTGAACAAAAGCTAATGGATTAGACCGAACCCGCATCCCGTACTTTACCTCCGCCCCTGATAGAGGGAGGATGAAAAAGGTTTTGAGGGAGGGGGTCGCTTAGTTACACACCACAACTAGGTATGAACATTTGTGTTTGTGTGTTTCCTAGATGGGGTTTAATTTCAAGTGGACTTAAAGAAATGTGTTTGTTATTGTACTAACAAGGTGGGCCTTCATGTGCATGTCTTCTTTTATACAAGACCATGTGATCATTTCCACGCTCATCAATCCCCCTTCTCCTACTTCTCCCCCGACCCTACTCCAAACACGGTATTTGGTATTTATATTAAGGTTCTGACTAATTTGATTTTATGCTCGTTAACTAACGAAAAATACTTTTTACCAGGGTATTTTTTATTTTAAGGGCTTAAATCTATCTTTTTTTAGTTAAAAGTAAATGAATCATATCTAACTATTCCCTCGTAACCGTTAGTGATTCTCAACTCCAATCTTGACTCAATACACCCTCCAACTGTAAATTAATAGCTGAACACATATCTAAAAAGATTCAAGTTACATATTCCAACGACGTAAAGTTCTTTTATATTATGAGTGTAGTTTAACTTGTGATATATAACATGCTAATTCCATATTTTAATTATAAACTTACCGATTATATGTAATTACTTTTAAAAGCGATTAAAATGCATAAATATTTCTTACACTATCAATGTATAGAATAAAAACTCTTTTAGGAATAATAATAATTTGAAGAAACTGAATTTAGAATTTATTTATACCATTTTGAGAATAGTGGGAGGCAAAAAGTTGATGACCTTTAGTTCACGGAAGTCATGGCAGTAACTGTGTGCCTAGTACTAGGAAATAGAGTGATGGCATTGGCAAGAATTCACTTTGGAACTAGTTACAGACCAAATATGTCATGTTCACATTTGCCCCGCGTAGAGGGGGAGAGAGAAACTACTAATGAAAATTAGGCGTGACATATTTTTAACAAATGTCATGGCAGTGGTGATAGTGTACATGTATGTGTTTTTTTTTTTGCCTGTCTTTTTCTTTGATATTAGATTAGATAACCAGTACTGACTCTAATCAAGTCGAATAGACTCCCTAGAAGTTAAATGCTTCCTAATAAGAAATTTTTATTTTTTCGACAAAATGAGGGATGCAACATTTTTCTTGATCGACATAGCATGTTTGAACATTTGATGATTGACGGACTTGCAAGGAGAGGCGAGCCAGGATTTCAAGCTTATGGGTTCGGGATTCTAATCGTTTGAAGTTACTGGGTTTACCCTGTATTTCTGCAAGAGGTTATTTTCATAGTTCGAACTCGTGACCTCCTAATTATCACATGGCAGCAATTTTAACAGTTACATCAAGAGTTCGTTCAAAGCACCATATCATGTGAAAAAGCTAATTGACACACCGCCGCATTCATCTCCAAACCATCCGTGTCAATATGTTTTAAACAAACTTAATTACTTGTGGTTTGTGGGTCGTGTTATTTGCATGCGAGGGCTTGAATACTCAAGATTTTGCATTGCTTGAGGAATCATATATAGTTTCAGAAGTACTTTACACCGTGGTCAGATTACTTGAAATATAACTGTTATAAAAGTAGGATTAGTAAAATGAATTATTTTACATTGCTTAATTGTTGATTCAAAAGTACTTACTATTTACTAACTGTGAATGTCCATGCCCATGAACATGAATCCTATCAACCTGGAGATCATATTGTATGAGTGATAGAGAGTGAATGCATGCGTTTTGTATCTCTAATTGAGTTTAGTATTTATACACGGACTTTAAACTATAATCAGGTCACCTAAAAAATACAATAAGTAATATTATAAAAAATATGATTTGCAAATTGAAAATAAAGCGGATCATTTTCCATAACAAATTAAAATACAACCCTGGTGTAAAATTTTAGTATATATAGGTTAAATCCTTTCTGAGTACATCATATCATGCTTCGTAGTGTGAACTCAGCTAATTATCAAGTATATTTGGAAGGTCTTACCAACAATTATCGCGTGGATATTGATAATTCGTGTTGTTTTATATAACAAACATGTCAATTTTCTTAATTTGGGGTGGGAATGGAATCTTAATTCTTTAATCGTTAAATTAGTGCTGAAGAAAGTAAGTTGTACTTCAGTACTATATGGACGACATTATAGCGTTCTGCTAATAACATTGGTGAAAACAGTAAAATCTATAGTACATCAAAAAGAGGCTAGTCAAACTTGATATTAATTCAAGTGTCATATTAAAAAAAGCTACTCGATATTTTTAGGACAAATCTAAAAATATTATAGAAAAATCTGTAAGGATTGAGATAAATCAGATCAAATTTAATTTATGGTAAAAATCAATTAAGATTGACTTATATTTTAAATAAATCTAATAAGAATTAAGACAAATCAGATTTGAGCAAAATTAATTTACGGGGAAAATCATTTAAGATTTAAAATCTTTTCAGTATCAATGAAGTATTAATATTTGGTATTTTGAAAGGAATATTCATAAATGTTCTAACGCATTTGTTCATTTGGAAATTTGGTCAATTTGAAAACTAAAAAAATAATAGAATTTTATTAATCAGTGTCACGATCCAAAATCTCAAACGACAATGGGATCGTGATGGCGCCTAACACTGCTTGCTAGGCAAGCCAGTACAATAGATAACATGCAAGGGAAAGCAGTAAATGACCAACAACTGAACAAATAACATAACGCGGAAATACTCTGCAATAACATAATAATTACCAATACAAAAAACTAACGTAAGATCACCCAAAGGATTGGTTTCACAAGTTCATGAGCGTTTAAATCCAGCTAAATACAAGGTTCTGAAAGAAATACAACACTGTCCGAATAAAATAGAAACAATACAGTAAAGATAGGAAAGTGACTCTAGGGCCTGCGAAAGGGGTGTAACTCTACCTCGAATCACTGACGGTAGCCACTAAGTACCTCGCCGAACTCCGCTAGTACCAACGTCAAAATATGCACAAGAAGTGCATAAGTGTAGTATGCGTACAACCGGCCCAATATACTCAGTAAGTGTCGAGCCTAACCCCGACGAAGTAGTAACGAGACTATGACACGACATCTACTAAAACTTGTGCAGTTATATATATAAAGCAACAGAAAATAACAAGTAAAGCATCAAAAGTAATGACGGGGTGGGGACATATATAAGGGGCAATAACTGGAACAATAAGTAAAGAACCACCAAGTAAGTATCTTTCTGAAATAAGCAACGAAACCGCCAAGTTAAATTCACAATACAAGTATCAAGTAAAACAATAAAGTCAATAAATTGCACGGCATCACCCTTCGTGTTTTTACTCTTATCCTCGCCATATAATATATATAAATAAATCATGTGCACGGCATCACCTTTCGTGCTTTTACTCTCATCCTCACATGATAATGATAATAGCAAAAAATTGCACGACATCACCCTTCATGCTTTAGCCTCACGTTCACTCAAGCAAAGATATCAATATGCAAACATGGCACGGCAACAACCTTCGTGCTTTTCGCTCTTCCTCACCAAGCATTCACAACAACACAATATATACCGAACAAGGTGGGAAGCAAGTTCAACTTCCATAATAATATCAAAATCCGCTCGTCATATAAGAATCTTTCCACAATTAGGGCCAACAACCAATCAACAATTTTCATGTTCTCATCACCCAATGTCACAACAATATCAAAATATGAAATAATATGGAAGCGGGAAATCAAGGAACTAACAATGTATCTAGGCATGGAAGACATATTTCACGAAATAACATGGTACAAGTAAGGCAATTCTACTTGCACGCTTATCCCATGGCCCCGCATATACGCTTGTCACCTTGCATATACGCCGCCCCCAACACATAATTCACATAGCAAATAGACTCGATTCTACCTTATTTCCCTCAAACCGAGGTTAATCAAGATACTTATCTCTTTCGTAATAAAATCACAATCAACCACGGCTTTGTCTTTCGAACAAGCCTCAAAACCAACCGAATCTAGCCAATTATCAATCAAACAATCCAATAAAAGCTTTAGAAACTACTCC